GCTGGGAGCCACCAAGATATGAGTTGAAAAAATACAGCAACATAAAACAAACACCACCCCTACCATTGTTGGTTGTCCTTGGCCCCGGGTGCACATCCCACAAGAAGTCTTGATCCGGCTTGGTTCGTCAGAAGGAACCCGTGCCTAACCCGTTCAAACCTTTGCTTAAGGTATCTATAATTGACCCGTAGTCCCACCACTCCCCTCAAACACCCAACAGTTGAGGTAAAAAAAGCCAGGAAGGGACCAAGGCTCGGACAGTAAGGCTCTTTGAGGGAGGTCCCTACTCCAGTGAACTCTGATTTGTTTCTTCCCCAAGTCGCTGGGGCAAATTCTGAAATCTTGAATTGGAGTGCGAAGAGAAAGGATTCCAAGCCCAGGCAGCTGCCTCTTGAAGCAAGTTTCAGGGTCCTGCTCTATCCCTGCCCGCCCGAAAAACAGCAAGTGGCTTGGCTGCTTGAAAAGCCATGGGGCCAAATACTTCCTGCTTTAGAGCCTTGGTGTTTGCGGCGGGGTCAAAGAAACATGTGCAGTGTTTTGCTGCCGGGGCTCAACGTCCTCAAATTGTCCCTTTCCACGCTGCCAACGGCTTGGATTCTGGGAGTCCCCAGACCCCCCCGTTAGGAGTTCAATGTGATCTTTCAAGCGATCGTCACCAGAACCCACCCCGTGCCCCACCCCCACCACCCCACCACCCCCCACCTCCCCACCACCCACCCCACGCCACCTCACCCCCCCACTTTGGTCGCCTGCAGCTCCGCGATCTCCTCCGCCAAGCGCGCGCTGCGCTCCCTCGAGGCTCGGAGCTTCTCCTTGAGGTCCAGGTTCTCCTGAGCTTCTCCTTGAGGTCCTTCCTACACTCCCGAACTCAGCCAAGGTAAAGTTAAAAAGTTAGAGAGTGATATCCAAGAGAATGCGAGTTAAACAGTTAGGGAGTGATGAGTTAACTGAATGAAGTTAAAAGCTAGGAATGAAGATGACCTTCCTACTTGAGAATGCGAGTAAGTTGGGGAAGTGGCTGTTCCTCTTTCCCTAGCCTTTCCATGAGATAGAGAGGAGGCTGGTGACAGAAAATCTACGACACCCGGCCCAGCTGACGACGACTTTGGGCTAGGTCCTCCAGATTTGAGAGCTTGGAATGAGTTGGTACCTTTTTTGTTTTCTGTTTTTTTGTGCTTTTTCAGTAGTAGCTGTTTGTTGTTTCTCTGTAGTCGATTTTAGGAGCGGGAACCCTCCCCCCCAAAAAAGGGGGTGAGACTGGGCACTACTGGGGACCTAAGATCCAAAACCAACGACACCCGGCACTGCTGACGACAACTTTGGGCGAAATGAAACCAGCAGGTTTGTTGGGGAATCGTGTCAGAAACCAGGGTTTCTGAACGGTGGTGCAGGATTTCGTCCATCCACAGTAGCTTTGTTCTTTCTGAGAATCCAAAGGGTCAAAAAGGAGTGATTGGCAACTGACGTGGGGCCAAATACACATTTGCAAACCAGAAATGAGATGAACTATCGGGATTGTTCCCCGTCACCCCCGCCGAAAAAGCAACAAAACCGCAAGGGTGAGTTCGCTTTGCCCCCAAACTCAATGTGAGTTGCCCTGAGCCACGGTCCCACTTCCTTTGCTTCCCACGGCCCTCAAGGGATGCTTTTAACGGCATCCGTTGGAACATGGGAAGATCACGAGAGGCAGCACCTTCCGACGCTTACCAAAGCATCAGCTACTCTGAGGTCTACCCCAAGGTGATGCGCTACGTGCTTTGCGAACACACATGTCCAACATAGGCTGAAGATCGCACCAAACAGCACGGCAAACCCAAGTCAATGTCGGAAAGTGCGACAAGGATCTCGTGATTGTCCCACATGAAAAGGGGGCTTGCCGCAAAGTGAAGTTCCCTCTTCAATGGGGCATCATTTCCAAACCCTGTTGAGAGGCGCTGTTGCTGTTGGATTGGGCTTCTCTTGTGCACTTCCACGTTTTTTGCCGGAGGGTAAACTACAGACCCCGTGCGGCTTGGAAAGGCTCTTAGAACCTTAGAAAGGGGTCGTGATCAAAGGACTCTGTCCAAGACTTTCTGATCAGAGGGTTCTTACCAAGCCTTGCCATTTGTGGAAATAACCCAGTCGCAGTTCCTTGAAAGACAGAAAGGCTCGAGTATGATCTGTCCCTTGGGTTTCTCCGAGGGACATTGAGAAGGATTTCTCGAACATGTGCGAAGCAGGGCATGGACCATGCCGCATGAAAGCCTGGGAGATATGCTTGCAGGGTTCTTGTTTAAAGTCGCCATAGAGGGACTCCATTGGAATCAACGACCAAACGGCGATGTTTAAACACCCCAACACAGGAACAAGGAGGACATTCCAGGAAAGTCGCGGTTTGTGAACCTTTGCCAATAGATGGTGTCCACCCCGAAAGAAGGGCTTAATGGAATTTGCCTGCCACTACAAAACCGCATGGGTGTTTTCTTTTTGTACGGGACTCCCCAAAGTTGTGTTCTTGTGCTTTTCCTTTCTGAAACCAAAAATGGCGTACCTTGAAAAAGGAAGGCCAAGCCTATAGTTGGTACTCGTGCACGTTTCACATACGGTGGGTGAACAACATCTTGGCTTCACCCGCGAACACACGTGCTCGACGGGCGCACGTATTCGCCAAGAGGCTGCGATGGCGTGCGCGTGCATTTGCCAGGCCTCCCGGAGCTGTGCCGGGGACGTGGTAAATCCGGTTTGAGGTTCCCAGGGCGCGGGTGGCACCCGCACCAGTCAAATTTCGGTCGAGGCTAAAATCAACAGCTGTAAGGCTTTGGACATTTCAAGTTGTCTAGTGGTTTGGTCAGTTTTTGTGGCGGAGAGACTGGCAAAAATGCGGAGGACAGCCAATTAAATTGGAAGGCTGCACGACAAAAGAAGATTCCTCCAACAAACGAAGGTTAAGTTGTTTCCGTTGTTGAGTTTCAGGAGAGCGAGGTCCATTTTCTTACTTGTGAGGCGTGCCTGCGCACTCGAAAAAAAGAAACAAATATTCTGCTTTCCCAACCTGCACTCCATTTTCAAGCTTCCTTTTCCCTTTTCTCAAAAAAAAACAAAGCCAACGGCACGGCTTCCGGAGGTTCCTTCCCAACGTGAAAACCCTCCCCCGGCCTCCCGGAACGACCCACCCACGCGCTCCGCTCGCTCCGCTGGCTCGCGCCTGGCTGTAGGAGACCCGGATCTCCGCCAGGACTTGGGCCTGGCGCACCCGGTCCGCCACCTCGCGAAGCGAGGCGAAGAGGGCGAAGTGGCGAAGTCCAAAAAGGTCTCACCGGCTCGGGAAATTTGCCGTTGCACCGGCTCGGGGGGTTTGCCGTTGGACCGGCTCGGGGGGTTTGTCGTTGGACCTTAAAATGGTTGGTTGGTGGGTTGGATTGGGCGGAAGTTGGGGTTTTTCATTGGACCGTCACTCAGATGCCCAGATTTCCAGGGGAAAGGAAAAAATAAGGGGCATCCGATTCGTTTTTCTTGGTTGGTGGAGCTTAAAGGGGAACCCTTCCCTCCCCCCCCCCAGAAAAAAAAGGGCACCACTGGGCAACTGGCTAAAATGGTTGGTTGAAGCTGTGTGGTTGGTTGGTTGGATTGGGAAGTTGGGTTGGGTTGAAGGTTTGTGGTTGAAGCTGAAGTTGGAATGGGTTGGTTGACGTCACTTGAGGCTGCAAATGGCATCTCTTTCGGGACCCGTGCGGGCAGTCCAGTCTATGAGAAATGTCTTGTAGCCGGTCTTTTAAAGGGGATCATCATTCTATATGTTTGGCAAACTGTACTTCAGGATCCTGCTGGCAGTGAGGGCCACTTTCTGCCTATGGTTTGACAGGTTCTTAGGTGGTTGGTTCCAGTCAAGGACCTGAGGAAGACAAGAAATACCATGTAAAAGGTTGCTCTCACTCCTTTCCGAGTCGCCATGCTGACCCCCTCAGAGAATTACAAGAGCCAGCGGCTCTCATTTCTTTCCAACCAAAGCAGTTGCAAAGGTCCCCACACTATGCAAACAGAAGGCAAGAGGAAAACGGTCACAGCCTCCTTCGCCAGCTTCCATGTTGCGAAACGTGACCTTTGCTCGCCTCTTTCTGCGAGGCTGTTTAGAGAAAAGCAAGAGAAACCGAAGCCCATTTGATGCCCCTATGTTTTTTTCTTGAGCCCACTCTTGTCGGTCGCAACAGAGCAACCAGAGGAAAGCCCATGGAAAACCACTAACCATGCCGAAACCAAGGGAAAACCCAAAACAGGGAGGGAAAACTAAACACTACCCCACTTTTTGGGAGGGAAAACTCAAAACACTGCACCCTTTGGAATACCCCAACTAGATCCTCCATCCCTTTTTTCTGTTGTTTATTTTAGTAGGGAAACCCTCCCCCAAAAAAGGGTAAAGGGCACTACTGGGGGACCTAGCCAAGATCATTTTGGAGGACGCCCACATCTCCCTTCAGACAAACCCTCCCGTCGTGTTCGCGCGGCACCTGCTTGGCGCGCTCGGAGCCTTGCCGCGCAGCCTCCAGGAGCGCCTCTCACGAGACGAGAAGTCGCCGGGCGAAGTCGCCGGCCGCTGGTGGCGCCCTCTGTTCAATCGTCCAAAAAGGGCAACGGTGTGGGTGCGTGTGTTTTAGGGGACCCCTTTTTTTGGTGGTTTTGCAGGGAAACCAAAAGGAAAACCCGGCGTCTTGGGGGTCCGCCAAGAAAAGGTGAATACCAACTTTGGTTGGGGCGGTGCCTTGTGACACCGAGCAAATTGGATTGAAATCCTCTTCTAGAGGCTGGCTTTGAAGGCTTGGTACACTTTGCGCGCTGGTGCTCAAGGGAAACCGAAGGAAAGCCACCAGTTGGGTCCGAATCTGAGTCAAAGACCGAAACGGCTTCCCCATATTTTCATATCCGGATGAACAAAGCCAAGGGGAACCGAATTGGGGAATGCCAGGAAAACAAAAGGGGAATAAAGGGAACTTTCAGCCGCAGGTCTTCAGTCGCATTAAAAGGGACCCATGTGCAATGTGAAACGGCCGGGGCTTCCTTGGTTTCCTTTGACACCACCAAACAAGCGGTTTTTCCCAAAAAAGATACCATGGGGCAAGAGTCATCATGCCTTTTTGGATGTCGTTTTTAACTCGCTGGCTGAGTGAATGGCCCAAAAACAGTCCAAACTTTACATTTGCCACTAACATGGCCTTCCCAACAAAAAGGTTCAAAGTGTATGAACTCAGGCAGTGAGTCATAGACCCCTTTCCAGCGTGGACCCCGGACAACCCTCGCGACACCGAAACCGCCCGAAGCCCGAAGCTGAAGCTCCGCGCGCGCTGGTGGTGGAAGCATCGCTGCAGCTCGTTGGCCCGTCGCTTCAGGGGCTCTTGGGCCGCCCGCGCCACCTGGGCTCCAAGGCAACACATGGTCGGTCTGCCGACTCGTCGGGGACTTTCCCCCCCCTCCCCCCCGTTTTGGTGGATGTTGAAGGGAAGCCAAAAGGAAACACCAACTTGATAATCTGATTTCGGGGGGGTATTCCAGAGTTTACCCAAGACTACAAAGAATCCACCCAGCCTCAAATCGCCCCAACTGTTCGAGTGGGATTTTGGCGCTTGATCGGCTTTCCACTTCGATGCTGTCGCAGGCCGCTCTCTTGGACCCTACCAAGTCCTTTTGGGTGCAAAGGGTTGCATCAGCACAGCTGCTTTGGCAGGCTGGTGAAGAGAGTTGAGAGGGAGGTGTTGATGAAGTAATCTCAGGGGCAGGCGCTGGCGCTCGGTTTGCTTTTTTTGGTTCGCCGGCAAGAGAGGGTTTTGGGCACTTTACTTGCAGGGTGTAGGTCTGATTGTGGATCAGGGTTTAGGGTTGGTTTACAGCTGTTTTGGTGTGTGTGTGTGTGTTGGGTTGGCTGTGGATGTGTCGGCGGCTGGTTAATCCATGGCTGACTTGTCGCACTTAGACATGGCAACGGATCCCTGCAAACCCAATATATATATATATGTAAACATACAGTTCTCCCGACCCAGGCCTCACTAGAGTCTTATTCGGGGTGGGGGGACACAGCAAAAACATGGGTAAGGGAAATGTTGGGATGCTGTGATTGAGCCAACCAAGCCTGCGCCGCATACTCTGCAACACGCACGCAGATTCCAATATCCTTGGTTTGTTGGCTGGTTGGGGGTTGGTTTCATGATTAGCTGGTTGGTTGGTTGGCTGGCTGGTATAATAACTAATAAAATAGTTTGTACATCTTGGTCTTCCCAGGACCCGCAAAACCAGGGTCCTTCTTGATTTTGATCTTGGCTTCAAATGGAAATTCGGCCCTAGGACCCTGCTTTTCCAGGGTCCTGGATGCGTATAGCGTATGCGGGATCTTGACAGGGGCCTTCGTAGGCGAGCGCGAGCCCTCGGTTTGGGGGGATCTTCAAAAGGAATGGCGTCCGTTAAAACAACCCGAAGCCAGGTCCAGGTACCCTCCCAAAACGTTCCAACCCACGCATACACACGCACAGAAACAAAAGGGTCAGCCAAGCTCACACAGTTGGCAGCATACAGCGACAGAGCTTGATATCCGCGAGGATTAATCATCGCCAGATGCACCAAATAGATACCGCCTTGATGCTACCTGTGGAAAGCCAGGGCTAAATGCACAATGGTTACAATGGTCTGGATCAAAACAAGGACCCTTCCAATTGGCCTGCTTCATGTCGGCATGAGCATGCCCAACATTCTTACCTCAAGACGCCCAAACAGGACCATGACAAACCGACAACCCTCGCCGCCATCACCCCATCTGCAAAACCGGTCTCGGACAACAACGATGGCTCAGCTGTCCGTTGCCTTTCCGCTTTCCCCTCGCCGAGTCACCTGGACCCGCAAGCGCAAGGCTTGCACTTCCGGATGCACGTCGTCTTCCGGCAGGTCGCCTTCCGCTGGTTTCAGCCCGCCAGAAGGCAAACCCCGGGAGCCCCTCAGGGTAAGCTCTGTCCAATTTCCCAGCACTCAATTCATACAAATCCGCAAGGTTGCCGAAGTAAGACATCCGATCACATGTTCACACGATCCTCTCAACAAACTGGCAAACGCGTTCCAAGTTGCCAGGGTGTAGCTAGGTATAGACGTTCAGCCCTTGTGGTCTAAGTGAGCAATTGGGTGTGTATCGAAATGAGGGGGAACCTTTTCAGGAGAGTGATATCCTGCTTCGTTTGCCCCTTCACAACAACCAAAGGGCACCCTAGTTTGATTTGAGATACCTTGATAGCCCCTAGGCTCCTCACCGGGTAATCTGTTTTGAGCAGGCCTTGAACGCCATTTTCAGTCAACCTATGTCCACATCTAGGTCCTCCAGTAGAGAGGCTAGAATAAGGGTACCATTTTTTTTCTGTACCTGGGTCCTCCGTCTCCGGGTTATTTCTCCGTTGTTGTTTTTTTTCTCCGTTCTCCGGGATATTTCCAGGACACCCTCTGAAAACTAGGCGTTGCAGGCGTTTCAAATGCATGATCAAGAAGCAGGAATGGCTTGCAAAAGGCAGGAGTGAAATCAAAAACTAGGAGTGGGGGAGACAATCGGAAACAAGCCTTGCAGTCTTTTTCGTCGTTTGGCCCCGCAATTATACAACTCTGTACACTATCCCAGCAATCATGCAACTCTGTGCACTCGAGTGGGGATTCTACTGATTTTAACAGGCACTCTCCGGAAACTCCGTCTTTGTTTGATTTGCGGGAGTTTTCGGGTTTTTTTGCGGGAGTTTGCGGGCTTTTTGCGGGTGTCTTGCGCTGGGTTTCAGGTGGTGCTTTCCGGTTTTGCCAATTTGTCGCCCAAAGGCGCAAATTCTGAATAGTTCTGAATGCTGAAGAGTTCTGAATTCTGAATAACTGATTCTGATTCATGTGAAATATTCCGATTCAGAATATTTCTAAATTTGAAGGCTCTTTTCCATCAAGTACCGAATATTTGCGATTTCTAGGGGTTTCAGGTGTGCAAACCAATTTCCAGGAGTGACAATCAATTTCTAGGAGTTTTACCTCAAAAACAAAAAGTTTGAAACCTCCGTGTTGTTTCACTGAGACCCTTAAAAAACTGGTAGTCTCCGAATTTTACGTTAAATTTCCATAAGTTGGAAGATACAGGCCTAGGTAGTCTATGTTAGTCGGGGAACCCTCCCCCAAAAAGGGTAAAAGGGCACTGGGCGACCTAGAACCTCAGAAGGAGACTGTTGCAACACACCGCTGGTTCGGCTGCGAAAGCTGGCCTTCGAGGCTCATTCCAGATAGGTCAACGCAACTGGGCTGTCCGTTTTCAGATCCCTCGCTGAAAGCTCAACTTGTAATTCATGGGTTCCATGGAAACCCCCACTAAACACTAAGAAGCTAAAAATCTAAGGAACCGGATGGCTGGGAGCCACCAAGGTAAGGATGGGCCATGTCCCCCTTCAAATCGTCACCCTCTGTAGATGGATCCTGGCCGACACCCCCAAGGGCAACGTTGCAACCGGCTGAACGGCTCGACACGTCCGAATTCTGGACGAGCCCAGACTTCAACACTGCTAGGTCCTCCAGTGGAGAGGTTAGAACAAGGGTACCCTTTTCTCTGTGGTCTATTTTAGTAGGAGAACCCTCCCCCCAGAAAAGGGTAAAGGGGCACTACTGGGGGACGTAGACTGTGCGTTTCAAGACGGTGAGCAACTTTGCAAAGACCCTGTCTCTGTTCCCCCGTTCCAACCAGTTCATGTTTGGAAGGCCCCGTGTTTTGCTTTCAGTGCCAGTTTCCCGAAACAATAAACATACCTGACATGCGGGACTTGACTCTGCCTGGCTCCGCGCTCTGGTCGCTCTCGCTTGGCTTCTCCTAGGGGTTGCATAGAAAACAGCTCACAAAGCTCACTTTCAAGCAGACACGTCAAGATTCATGACCGAGATCAGGGGGAACTTCAACCCACTGACACATCCCAAAGAAGGACACCCCCCAGCTAAACCCGTGTTGTTCAGCCAGTGAGCAGCTTCAATTTGGATCAGTTAGGGAGATCGTCTGGGAAAGGTGCGGAGGTCTTTGAGACGATTTGAACGGCTCTTGAACCAGGAGATCCATAGAATCCGTACCTCCGCAAACCTTTCAAAGCGGATCCGTCTGTGTTCATGGACGGAAATCTGACCTCTCCAGTTTGTTTTCGATTTTTGTTTTCGTTTGAGCGAAACAAATGAAATCAGCAAATGCAAGCGCTTCCAATGACACACACCCTTCGCGTCGCGATTACCACGAAAAATCGAAGTACCTGCGTAACAAAGGCCGAATTGTTAGAACGTGTGGACATATCGATCGAGAGTCGAACCCTTTGCTGGTTCATGGTCAACCGTGTTTCAGCAAAGTCCTGCGTTTAGGCGTTCGATCGCTGGCTTCAAGTTGAGCCACCTGTCACATGTTAGATGCAACCCTACTCCACGGCAGGTGCCAACAACACGCCAGCTAGGTCCTCCAGTAGAGAGGTTAGAATAGGGGAACCCTCCCCCTCAAAAGACAAGGTAAAAGGGCACCTAGCTGGGGGACCTAGCCATGACTTCTTGGTCAAACAATCAGTTAACATGGCGCACAAGCCAAGCTGGCGCCGCCCATCTCTTCCTCTGGGGGGCAAGAAAAAACGGACTGGCCAAACAAGCTGCTGGCCCTCTATGAAGAAACCTGTCAACACAGGTTTACAAGAAAGGAATTCAACCACTGCGAAGAGAGCCCTGAACTTCTCATCTGCCAACCCAAAATGCAGCTTGCAGGTCAGGAAACTAATGTTGACCTAAGGCGAAACCACCTCCCACACGAATTCATCAGCGCGGGCCCTGCAAGAAAGGGAGCTTTTGTTGAAATGGCACTTTACCATATCGAAGGGGTAGGCATGGGGCCTGCGCTTGTGTTTCAAAGCAAAAACAAACGAAAAGCACCAACTGGGTCTCCCCTATGTTCCCCGTGCCCAGTCTGTCCAAACCCATGGTAGTTGCAATTGCGTGCTTCTGTTTCTTCGGATAACTCACGGTTTTTGCGCATATTTCACTTCAGGAGACATAGGGTCTGCAGTTGTGTTCTTGCTTTTGTCGGAAAACTCGGGGAAACCAACAGAAACTCAAAAACAACACAATGTCAGTTCTGTGAGCTTGCAAGTTTAAATGTGCAAGGCGTTAATTTTAAATAGAACTTCAACTTTAATTCAAATATAATTATTGTCTTTGAATTTGATATTAGAGATGAATCATTATTAATTGAATGCTAATTAGTACCTGCAATTTGAAACTTGCAATTTGCTGGAGTTTCTGTTGGTGTTTCACTCCTTTTAAGGGGTGTGCACTTAAACTTGAAGTCTTGCAATTCAACACTTACACACCCATCAGACATGAAGGCGCATTGTCTCGAGTTTGTATTCGTGTGTCAGTATTTGTTAAAGGGCAGGCAAATTGGAAGAAACGACAATATTTTTTTTTGCAAACTAGAGTCTATCTAGATTAAATTTAAACCTTTACTTGGAGAGGAATTCCGATGTAAGGTCCAAAATTCAAATGTGGAGTTCTATGTAACCTAATCATAAGAAGCAACCAGCATGTATTTCCTTGTTATAATATGCTGAAATTATGATTGAATTACAATTAAGTCCCTTAAAATGAATGGCAAATTCAGGAGTCTCCATGGTTGTGGTTGATACATACAAGGGTCCCCATGTCGAAGACTAAAAACTGCGCCATGGACTACTGCCCAGTTGCCGCAAAAAAAAAGGGGAAGGGGGGGTGCTTTTGGGGCTGACCGTGCAGCGAGGCTAGGTCCAGATTTGAGAGGGTAGAAGAAGTTGGTACCAACTTTATCCGGTTTATTTCAGCCGGCGAAGCCTCCCCCCAAAAAGGGGGTAAACAGGGCACTACTGGGGGACTTAGCTGTGTTCCAAGGAAGAAATGGATGGCCCACCCGATTTTTTGTTGCACTCTGGAGTGGTCTCCCCGAAATCCCCCGCAAAAAGGGGGTAGAGAAGGGCACCACTCGCGGGACCTAGGAATCCAAGGGCCGGCTGTCCTGGGACAGGGCAGAGATCTTCAGCGCTTGCCACAGCACCTGGCAATGAGTCTGGAAGAAGTCGCCCTTTTTTTTACAACCCTTGGCAGGGCAGCAAACAAAAAGCACGGCACTTTTGGTAGCCCCCTACTAAAGTTTAACAATGAAGAGAACCAAAAACAAAAAGCATAAATCCGAGAAACAGAAGAACATATGTCAAGAACAGTGAAGGTAAGGCCCATGTGACACCAAAGTGGACTCGAGGGCTTCAGGCAGAGAATCGCTCTCTCGCCACAAGACATCCTGGCGACTTGATAAGACTTTACCGCAGATTCCCTTCCCACAGAAACTGACACTAAAACTATATAACATGTCTAAGTTTATCACAGAAACTGGCCAACAAAAACTCGCTTTTCCATGTGCGGCTTGCTTTGCGGTGGACTCACAAGCATCTGATCAACCGCAAGTGCATGCATACATACGGAAAGATGGCCGGGGGTCGGGGGATGACAAAGCATGGAACTTTATCTGTGTGTGTGTGTGTGTGTTTGTGTGAGTATGTCTCGTGAACATAGCGTCTAGACACGGGAATCGTCTCTCACACTCAGAGTTCCTGACCTGCCTCGTGATGAATGAAGCGAGGTTGGTTGGACCAGTGTCGGGGTCAATAATCCACCCCGATGATTGGACTTACATGAGCGCATCTTAAAGAAGGAATCGGAGTCTTGGCAACAATGGACCACCAATCCTCCCCTCGAACACGCGCGGCGTCGATCTCTGTCTTCGACATTTGACAAGCTCAAAGAGTTCCAGGGACTCTTAAGGCTAGGGTCAACTTCAATGGACAAAGTCCCTGAGGGCTGCCAAACAAAGGGTACACAAAGGAAACCACTGTCCTACCATTAAAACTTGGCAGCTTCGAGCTCCCAGCCTTGAACCTTGCGGCCTCGTCATCGATGACTTTGTCTTCGCTGACTTTCTCTTCGCTCGCGGAGTCAAGTCTCTCCTGCAAAGCTTCGGGGGGGCGGGGGCAATTGTTTGTTAAAACTGCGCAATAACATACCCCTCAAGGGTGAAGCGGCTGGGGAGGTCAAACAATGCAGTGGGATGTTCAGAGCACACACACGTCCTTTCCTTGGCATCTACCTCGGGCCCTACTTTCGGCCCCTTGTTTCACAGAAAGGGAGCGGCCAGGATCGCAGACATCCTTAAGGTAAGTTTTGTAGCGGGTCATAAAACCTCTGGAAACAAGGCTTTCTGGTACTTCGCAAGCTATGCCATCGGTTTTTTAACACTCAGCTGCCCGCATGATCCGACATGGGCGCCCATTGCAACTGCAGTCCCTTTACATGTAAGGGGCTCCGATTCTAAGACACACCCGTGGGCCAATCTTGATGCAGTGGCTTTGGGCTTTGCACCGGTGGAGAGGTCCAGCCTGTTTCTCCCAGGTCTCGTCCACCATAGCCCACCCAAAAGGTGTAGGATTTATCTATCCACAGTATTGACTCCCTCTTAAGGTATAAATCATCGGAAAGCTGACCAAACCTTTTCCGTCGCCCAACACACGAATCTTCTGAGTTGTCGGCTGCACAGCAAGAGCTTCAGTCCTCTAATGGGAGCGACTCCTCCGCTTCGAAACCTCGGCAAGGTCGAACAAAGTTGACTTGCTCAAGGACAAGTGGGGCCAAAATTAAACCACTAGGGGACCACAGGTTTTAGTCCTTGGTTCCATTTACCAGGGTTCTATTTCTGGCCCCATTATTTTACCATGATCAAAGTCACCCCCTAAGTGGTGGATTAAAGGGAAACAGCCCCATTTTCGGACTTTGATAACCCCCAGAAACAGTCAAAGTAATAACCCCTGTACTTTGGGTGCCCATGTTTGACCCACAGCCAAGTAACATACTGCAAGACAGAAACGGTACAAGGGCTTCTCCCCGCTTGGGTTGGGCATGTCCTCGGTTCTTGTTCGATTTTGGCTCCCTTGAGCTCGAACCAAGCCACAATGATGATATGGTTCGGCCAAGGGCTCTGAAAGCAAACACCGAAATAGGAGAGCCTCCCACAACATGGTGCGTTTCTTTTGGGTTTAATCTTAGCATAAGCATCTCGCTCCTCAAGGAAGCTACTTTCCTTCAGCGTTGCCGTTTGCTCTTGTCCATCTCGCTCTTGATCTTCTTGGAACCCATGTTGCTCATGAATTCCCTGAACACCTATCCTTTTGTTTTCCGCTTTTTGGCTCAGGCTGGATAGCCACGTGTTTCTATTTTTTTCCAGCTGTTGCTGGTTTTTTAGGGGAAAAGTGGATGCACAAAAAGCGATCGCAGCTGGCGATCCAGGAGGTCGCTGATCAAAGTGGCCGCTGGCGAATGTCCAGATTCCCAGCGCCGGGCTCTTGAGCTCGGCCAAGAGCTCCTTGGCCTGTCGCTCCAACATCGAGGGCACCGCCATCGGGCGGTCGATGTGTGGAACCCCTTGTTGGCTCATGGTCAACCGCTCTTCTAGTAAAGTCCCCCTTGTTGGCTCATGGTCAACCGCTTTGTTAGTAAAGTCCCCCTTGTTGGCTCATGGTCAACCGCTTGTTGAGTAACGTCCCCCTTGTTGGCTCATGGTCAACCGCTTTTCTAGTAAAGTCCCCCTTGTTGGCTCATGGTCAACCGCTTTGTTAGTAAAGTCCCCCTTGTTGGCTCATGGTCAACCGCTTTTTGAGTAACGTCCCCCTTGTTGGCTCATGGTCAACCGCTTTTCTAGTGAAGTCCCCCTTGTTGGCTCATGGTCAACCGCTATGTTAGTAAAGTCCCCCTTGTTGGCTCATGGTCAACCGCTTTGTTAGAAAAGTCCCCCTTGTTGGCTCATGGTCAACCGCTTTCTGAGTAACGTCCCCCTTGTTGGCTCATGGTCAACCGCTTTTCTAGTAAAGTCCCCCTTGTTGGCTCATGGTCAACCGCTTTGTTAGTAAGGTCCCCCTTGTTGGCTCATGGTCAACCGCTTTTTGAGTAACGTCCCCCTTGTTGGCTCATGGTCAACCGCTTTTCTAGTAAAGTCCCCTTGTTGGCTCATGGTCAACCGCTTTTCTAGTAAAGTCCCCCTTGTTGGCTCATGGTCAACCGCTTTGTTAGTAAAGTCCCCCTTGTTGGCTCATGGTCAACCGCTTTTTAGTAAAGTCCCCTTGTTGGCTCATGGTCAACCGCTTTGTTAGTAAAGTCCCCCTTGTTGGCTCATGGTCAACCGCTTTTTGAGTAACGTCCCCCTTGTTGGCTCATAGTCAACCGCTTTTCTAGTAAAGTCCCCCTTGTTGGCTCATGGTCAACCGCTTTGTTCGTAAAGTCCCCCTTGTTGGCTCATGGTCAACCGCTTTTTGAGTAACGTCCCCCTTGTTGGCTCATGGTCAACCGCTTTTCTAGTAAAGTCCCCCTTGTTGGCTCATGGTCAACCGCTTTTCTAGTAAAGTCCCCCTTGTTGGCTCATGGTCAACCGCTTTGTTAGCAAAGTCCCCCTTGTTGGCTCATGGTCAACCGCTTTGTTAGTAAAGTCCCCCTTGTTGGCTCATGGTCAACCGCTTTGTTAGCAAAGTCCCCCTTGTTGGCTCATGGTCAACCGCTCATTGCTTAGTCCCCCTTGTTGGCTCATGGTCAACCGCTTTTTGAGTAACGTCCCCCTTGTTGGCTCATGGTCAACCGCTTTTCTAGTAAAGTCCCCTTGTTGGCTCATGGTCAACCGCTTTGTAAAGTCCCCCTTGTTGGCTCATGGTCAACCGCTTTGTTAGTAAGGTCCCCCTTGTTGGCTCATGGTCAACCGCTTTTTGAGTAACGTCCCCTTGTTGGCTCATGGTCAACCGCTTTTCTAGTGAAGTCCCCCTTGTTGGCTCATGGTCAACCGCTTTGTTAGTAAAGTCCCCCTTGTTGGCTCATGGTCAACCGCTTTTGGAGTAACGTCCCCCTTGTTGGCTCATGGTCAACCGCTTTTCTAGTAAAGTCCCCCTTGTTGGCTCATGGTCAACCGCTTTGTTAGTAAGGTCCCCCTTGTTGGCTCATGGTCAACCGCTTTTTGAGTAACGTCCCCTTGTTGGCTCATGGTCAACCGCTTTTCTAGTGAAGTCCCCCTTGTTGGCTCATGGTCAACCGCTTTGTTAGTAAAGTCCCCCTTGTTGGCTCATGGTCAACCGCTTTTGGAGTAACGTCCCCCTTGTTGGCTCATAGTCAACCGCTTTTCTAGTAAAGTCCCCCTTGTTGGCTCATGGTCAACCGCTTTGTTAGTAAAGTCCCCCTTGTTGGCTTATGGTCAACCGCTTTTTGAGTAACGTCCCTCTTGTTGGCTCATGGTCAACCGCTTTGTTAGTAAAGTCCCCCTTGTTGGCTCATGGTCACCTGCTTTCTGAGTAACGTCCCCCTTGTTGGCTCATGGTCAACCGCTTTTCTAGTAAAGTCCCCCTTGTTGGCTCATGGTCAACCGCTTTGTTAGTAAAGTCCCCCTTGTTGGCTCATGGTCAACCGCTTTTCTAGTAAAGTCCCCCTTGTTGGCTCATGGTCAACCGCTTTTTGAGTAACGTCCCCCTTGTTGGCTCATGGTTAACCGCTTTTCTAGTAAAGTCCCCTTGTTGGCTCATGGTCAACCGCTTTTCTAGTAAAGTCCCCCTTGTTGGCTCATGGTCAACCGCTTTTTTAATTAACGTCCCCCTGGTTGGCTCATGGTCAACCGCTTTTTGAGTAACGTCCCCCTTGTTGGCTCATGGTCAACCGCTTTTCTAGTAAAGTCCCCTTGTTGGCTCATGGTCAACCGCTTTGTTAGTAAAGTCCCCCTTGTTGGCTCATGGTCAACCGCTTTTTGAGTAACGTCCCCTTGTTGGCTCATGGTCAACCGCTTTGTTAGTAAAGCCCCCCTTGTTGGCTCATGGTCAACCGCTTTTTGAGTAACGTCCCCCCTTGTTGGCTCATGGTCAACCGCTTTTTGAGTAACGTCCCCTTGTTGGCTCATGGTCAACCGCTTTTTGAGTAACGTCCCCCTTGTTGGCTCATGATCAACCGCTTCTTTAGTAAAGTCCCCCTTGTTGGCTCATGATCAACGGCTTTTTTAGTAAAGTCCCCCTTGTTGGCTCATGGTCAACCGCTTTGTTAGTGAAGTCCCCCTTGTTGGCTCGTGGTCAACCGCTTTGTTAGTAAAGTCCCCCTTGTTGGCTCATGGTCACCTGCTTTCTGAGTAACGTCCCCCTTGTTGGCTCATGGTCAACCGCTTTTCTAGTAAAGTCCCCCTTGTTGGCTCATGGTCAACCGCTTTGTTAGTAAAGTCCCCCTTGTTGGCTCATGGTCAACCGCTTTGTTAGTAAAGTCCCCCTTGTTGGCTCATGATCAACCGCTTTTTTAGTAAAGTCCCCCTTGTTGGCTCATGACCAACGGTTTTTTTGTAAAGTCCCTCTTGTTGGCTCATGGTCAACCGCTTTGTTAGTAGAGTCCCCCTTGTTGGCTCATGGTCAACCGCTTTTTTAGTAAAGTCCCCTTGTTGGCTCATGGTCAACCGCTTTTTTAGTTCATGGTCAACGGCTTTTTGTTGGTAAAGTCCTGCGTTTAGCCGAGCGATCGCTGGCTTCAAGTTGAGCCACCTGTCATATGTCAAATGCAAGCCTACTCCACGGCAGGGTGCCAACAACACGCCATCTAGATAATAAGGGTGCCAACTTTTTCAGGAGGTCTATTTTAGTAGGGGAACCCTCCCCCCAAAAAGGGTAAAAGTGGGCACTACTGGGACCTAGCTGGGGAAAGGAGGAGGTCGGTATCCAAACAAAACGCAATGTTGGCGTGCTTGCTTGCGTGCGTGCGCGCTTCAAGGGAAGCTTGATTGCTTAGGGAATGCGGCTATTCGGCTCTTCGAATTATCCCCGTCTCGGTCAACGCGCACTCAGCAATTCCAGATCCCGCTAGACTTGGTGCTCCACTTTTGACTGGTTCAGAGGCTCAAAAGGGTCCTGTTGCATGCCAAACAGGGCATTGTATGGGTTTCTTGGTGAAAAACATACATTGGTGTCCCTTGGGCCTGCCACAAACAATCGAAGCTTGGCTCAGCGCAGAATGTCCACTCAGCAGAAGGGTTGCACTATGATATCGGGCTGGTTTTGTTCCCCGGAACCTCTTTGGATAGGGGGGGCACAGGGGGTAGCGTGAATGAATGCTGTGACGTGTTGCTCTTTTTGACACATCTGTGGAGAGTGTTTCAAAGCGAACGGTTTTCCACGGTCGTGTTTGATCGGATGGATTCAACCCAAACGGGCTCAGGAAGGCACGCGCATCATGTTTTCCAATAGATATGGGGTTGTCTCGACATGCAACAACGCGAGCCCGCCCCCCCCCCCCCCCGGCCGGATGGTTTTCCTTTGGCATTGCCCGCAAAAGTTAGGTCTACCAAAGAGTTAGGTCTGCTCCGCGAGTTAGGTCTACCAAAGAGGGGCGAGTTAGGTCTACCAAAGACCAGCTTTGTCTGATCAAACAACACATGTCGTTGATTGGAATGTTCTGCGCTTTCAGTGCTACCTTTGCCAACCTGTGGGGCCCTTTGCCAAGTCACATTCCGCGACAGAGAACGACAACACCAGAAATCATGTCTGGCAGTCTTCTAGGTCCACTTACTTGCTCATTGTCACCGAGAAACAAGATTGCCCTTGGTTCTGCTATTTCCAGGGAAATCAGACACAACATAATCAGACACAACAAATCTATTATTGGCTCTGCCATTTCCAGGGAAATCAGACACAGCATAATATGTTGTCAACTGTTCACAGTTCATCCCAGCTCATTCTAAACCATGACCTCGCCTCCATTCAATTCCTGGGAAATGAAACCATTCTTTCCATGCCGCGCTGAAACTTTTATCAAACCAATACTCAGATTTCGAGAGAGAGAGAGAGACAACATTCAGGACACCACCAATACATAGATCTAGAAAAAAAAAAAAAAAAAACTCATTCAGCACACCAGCTAAGCCGTTCCTTCCACCTGCGGCCAAGTGGCCAAATCTTCGCTCGCCTCTGCTTCTTCGGAGCCTTCGACCTTCTCCGCCGCAACATCGCTCGCTGGCAAGCAAGCGCTGCTTGCGGCCTGACGAACAAGCTCGCACGAGCACCGCGCAGTACACACACCTTGGAGTGTTGAAGACTAGGTCCTCCAGTAGAGAGCTTAAAATACCAGTACCCGATATTTTTTCTGTAGTCTATTTTAGTATGGGAGCCCTCCCCCAAAAACGGGCAAAAGGGCACTACTGGGGGACCTAGAAGAGCTTGTGGCCATCTTTTGGTTTTGGAGGCATATCCAAAACCGGCCTGTCTGCTTTGCTTTGTGAAAGGCACGGCTGGACAGCTCTTTGTCGAACTCAGTGGGCCCAGCGACAAATCCAATCCGTCAATTGGCAAAAGCCCAAGAGTTTCCAGATTTCAAGGCCCCAGCCTTTGCACTCGGCGTCAAGTGACACATCGTGACCTCCACAGGCTCCTGAGTCTCTGGGAAGCTCATGGCTACCTTTGAGGCAGAAAGGGGGGGATTATGATCTACTTGGTTAAAACGGGCTTGCCCTTTCTTGGCGCGGGCGGTTGCGGCCGTAGCCTTGCGTGAGCAAAACATCGAGAGTTCTCGTGGTTGCAATTGGTCACGTATTGCACGATTGAAACAGTGCACCAGGCGGCGGGAGGGGTTCATCAAACTTGGGGGATTCTCAAAACTGTGGCCCTTTTGGGCAAGGGTTTCCTTGTAGCTTTCCCTCGACCAAAACGGGATCCGAATCCCATTCTGAGAAACAACAAAATGGGCTCATGGCTATGGCCAACGGAATCCCATTTCAAGTGAGAAAGTAGTCATGGAGATGGCCCATTTTCGTATCACAGAAAGGCTTGTTTCTCACAAGCATCAATTGGTTCTTGGTGCTTTGAATTTTGCTGTCCCTGATTTGGATCTTCAGCAAGTTGCCACACGCAGGATGACAGTCTCGCAAGCTGTTTGCGTCCTTTTAAACAAAAGCAAAAGGAACCATGGAAGAGGAACTTTTAAAAGTCCTACTCAAAACCTGGTACAAAAAGGTGTCTGCGGCCAAACCCATGAAAAACCCATGGCCGACGGGGCAATTTTCACCGTCGATTTGCGGCACGGGGTGCGTGGCTGGAGCTCTCTGCAGCTGCGGCACAGGGCACCGGCCGCTTGGGCTGCGCGGCCGCTGGGTGACTCCGATGGAGGCGCCGCGGGGCGCGGAAGAGGCGCCGGAAACCTCGCTGCCGGAGTCCTGCAGAAACAGGCATCCTTACATTATGCACCTGAACATTGCAACTTGTAAATGGTGGTTTCCCTGTATTTTGGTGGAAGAAGCCATGTTTCAAATGGGCAAAATGTATCTTTTAAGGAGTCCTGCAGAAACGAAGGGCATTTTCCATGCAAAGCCCAAGGGCATTCTCCGGCTTCTCATGGGCTCATGGGCTTCTCAGAAAAAAAAAAAACATGAGAAGCTTGGGCTTTTAGTTTCTGCAGAATGTCCGGCTTCTCATGGGCATTTCCTACGCAGAGCGCTTGGCTTTCAAGGTGGAAACTCAGGGCCGGATGATGCGTTCGCAACCCCGTTTCCAACGTCACCCCCATGCTTGTGAGAAACCCCAGCTGGGCTCGCCAAAAAAAACTTTGAACCCACATGCAAGCCACAGGGGGCTCTCTTAAAAATATGATCCTTTAGAAGGGCCATGTGATGGCTGGCACCATCCCAGAGCATGAGGGCATCACCAAGTCAAGAGACATTGCTTGCTCCACAAAGAGGTATGAAGCTTTGAGCAATTCTACTGCGTGGTGAGATGAGCGTTTTGGCCAAACAGCTTTACACAAAACATGGGTCGACAAGCTCATCAAGGGCACTTCCCTTCTGAATCATGGCCCTCTCTGGACATAGGCAATGACCGGAGGGGAGCCGAGCGGACAGGATTTACCACTAGAGCCGGCGAAGCTGGTGGGGTTTCAAAAATATGAAACTTAGCAGT